TATTGAAATCTACATCTAACAATCACCAATAATTCCTCTTGATTTTATGGTTTATACTACACCAGTGCTGCACCTCTCCTTTGGAGAGATTTGCACTGTTCATGCGTTAAAGAATTAACTTTCTTGGTTTTTTACATCGTTAGCAAAAACACTCTTCAATCTAATTTAGAACCATCACATGCGCTTTACTGCGAAAGGTTTGAAGTTTGATCTCACCTTCCTGAAAGAAAAAGGCACAGAGGCTTTTTGATTTCAAAGCGTCCTCCCACAGCAACACGAAATGAACAACCAACTTACCACGTTTTCACAACAAAATTGCTAATTTTTATTCATGTTCTGCAGTTAACATGATAACAGTGGATAACTGCTCTTTGACTTTCTTATGACTAATGAACTAATATCAGAAGAGACAGAGAAACACACACACATACAGACAAACTTAGCGCTTAATTATAAGTAATTACACTGGATATAGCGCTTACAGTGAGTAGATTTCATCGCTTGCCTGTGCAAATGCACTCCGCATGTGCGATCCTGAAAGATTACGCCAACTGGAACGCACTGCCCAAAGTGGGCTTTTAAAGCACTTTCCTCATGATATCCCCAGTCTTTGGCTTCTCCGTCAGGCTTATAGAAGAATCAGAGTAGACTTCAGCATCTAGAGAAAAGTATTTTTGCACTTTCTTGTACTTGAACGATAGTAGCCACAAAACAATATATAAGTAAAATACAAAGAAAGCAGAAAAAAGGAGAAGCGAGAAACTGTCGTGAAAACTTTTTAGATGGGCGATCCAGTTGGCTTAAGATTTTTCCAAAATGAGAACGCGCAGTACAATGACACAGGAGCCGTGAAATCTACTCAATTGTGGTTAGTGTGTATTGTGTAGCATGTTCTCTGTTTGTCACAAGATAAGTTTATCTGCCTGAAAAGTCAGAAAGTGACTCTTACTGAGTGGTTGCTACATCTCGGCCTCCCTATTCTATAATCGAGCGGCTAGAATTTATACAACATATACTACACTCTGTACTCCTCGCGACAGAATCATAAATATCTACTGGACAAGTGGACAAGACCATCTTCGTAATTCACGGTCCGACTCAACCTTTTCCACTTATCTTTACTTGGAAGACCTTTTCCAATTAGTTTATCGTTTAGCAGTACCCTTGTATACCAGTACGGGGATAGTATATATTCTTTGCGAGACTCCTCGTAACTGGAGTTGCCCTTCCAAGCCACCTCAACGGATGCTCTTATATGTGCATTCGTTTCATAACTCCATCCTTGAATTTTACGAATGGGCTCGACGTATCCCGAAGTTGCATCAACTCTTGACGATCTCACTCTTCCCATGGATCAAACATCCAAAGCAGCAGGAATTCCTGACTATATCAAGATAATACTGAAAGCTTTGCTTGAAACTAGGGAAAAAATGTCTGCTGTCAAGAAATGGTGCACCAAACTCACTGAAGAAAATGGGACGAGTCAGAATTGAAAATCTACAATTTAAGTGGCTTTCAAATAGCGTTCCACACGACATACTACTTCTTAAGGTAAAGCGCAATGGCTTCCATCTTTTGGTATGTGGATGGATTGATATTTCATAAGTAATAGCCTTTTAAGTAATAATCGTATATGATTTTTCATCAATTTGTAAAGTTGCCAGCGGCGTTCCAGAAGGAGTTTTATCACCTATCTTATTCAACGTATACACTGCTGATCTCCCAGCACTGTCAAATCCATCACATGTCATCTGCAACATTTTTGCTAATGATCTCAAGATTTATAGTACCTCTAGTGGTACAGAAATAATTCTGACCTCCAGTTAAACGTATATGGTTTCTGAATGTTCTCTCAATGATAAAATTTCGATTTCAAGTGATAAAGCCATTTAATGCGACTGGTAGCTTTTCCAATTTATCCTTAAATAGATGTAGTGCAGGTACTCGATTTAGGACAACAATATGACTTTAATTTGAACTTTGGTTCGCACCGCAGATTTTTGATATAAGAAGGTTTACACCAAACATATTGGGTGTACAACTTAATTCGGTCCGT